TCTGTTATTATCTTTGAGAACTAGTCACTGCAGAGTTGCCAGGTGACTGGAAAAGGGCAAATATTGTACCTATCTATAAAGAGGGGAATAAAGACAACGCAGGGAATTACAGACCAGTCAGCTTAACTTCAGTACTCCAAAAGATAATGGAAAAAACAAGCAATTTGTAAGCACCAAGAAGAAAATAAGGTGATAAGTAAGAGTCAACATGTAGTTGTCAAGAACAAATCATGTCAAAGCAACCTCATATCCTTCTTTGACAGGGTAATAAGCTTTGTGGATGGGGAAAGCAGGACATGTGATATATCTCAACTTTAATAAGGCTTCTGATACAGTCTCATAAGACCCTCTGAAACAAACTAGAGAAATATATCCTAGACAAACCATAAACTGGGTGCACAACTGGTTGGAAAAGTATATTCAGAGAGTAGTTATCAATGGTTCACAATTAAGCTGGAAGGGCATATCGAGTGGGGTCCCGCCGGGGGGAGGGTGACCCGTCCTGGTTCCAGTTCTATTCACCATGTTCATAAATTATTTGGATAATGGCTCAGAGAGGACACTTATAGTCTGAAGACAATACCAAGCTGGAGGGGTTGCAAGTGCTTTGGGGAATAGGATTAGAATTCAGAATGATATTGGCAAACTGGAGAAACAGTCTGAAATAAACAGGATGAAATTCAATAAGGATAAATGCCAAGTAGTACACTTAGGAAGGAATAATCAATTGCACAAATACAAAATGGGTAATGACTGCGTAGGAAGGAGTACAGCAGAAAAAGATCTGGGGGTTATAGTGGATCACAAACTAGTATGAGTCAAAAATGTAACACTGTTGCAAAAAAAGCAAACATCATTCTGGGATGTATTAGCATGAGCGTTATAAGCAAGTCACAAGTAGTAATTCTTCTGCTCTACTCATAGGGTGACCAGACAGCAAGTGTGAAAAATCAGGACGGGGGTGGGGGGTAATAGGAGCCTATATAAGAAAAAAAACAAAAATCGGGACTGTCCCTATAAAATCGGGACATCTGGTCACTGATCTACTCAGCATTGACAGGCCTTAACTGGTGTATTGTGTCCAGTTCTGAGCACCACACTCTGGGAAAGATGTAGACAAACTGGAGAAAGTCCAGAGAAGAGCAACACAAATGATTAAAGGTCTAGAAAACACGATCTTACGAGGAAAGATTTAAAGAACTGGGTTTGTTTAGTCTGGAGAAAAGAAGATTGAGGAGGACGACATCATAGTCTTCAGATAAGTAAAAGGATGTTATAAAGAACAGGATGATAAACTGTTCTCCTTAACCACTGAGGACAGGATAAGAAGGAATGGGCTTCAATTGCAGCAAGGGAGATTTAGATTAGGAAGTTTTTCCTAATGTCTAACTGTAAGGGTAGTTAAGCACGCAAACAAATTACCGAGGGAGGTTGGGGAATCTCCATCAGTGGATGTTTTTAAAAACAGGTTAGAGGGACGTCCTAGCCACCGCTTCCCACAGCTCCCATCGGCCGGGAATGGCAAACTGTGGCCACTGGGATCTGCAGGGGGCCGTGCCTGCGGACGGTCAAAGTAAATAAAATGTCTCACATCCCGCCAGCGGATTACCCCGATGGGCCGCGTGCCAAAGATTGCCGACCCCTGGTCTAGATAATACTTAGTCTTCCCTCAATGCAGGGGACCTACATTGATGACCTACAGGTGTCCCTTCCAGTCCTACATTTTTATGATTCTCTGGTTCATTTGATACTGCCCTGCAGAGCCAGTTACTGGAAGACAAGGCACAGCTTGAGAATATAAACTAAATTTATATAATTAGCCCTGAAAATATACTGTATGTCAAGTTAATTGCTATAATTTAAGCACAGTGTAATTTAATCTACAACCTATCCTGGAAAATGATCCCTCACTCTCACAGGCCTTGAGAGGCAGGCCGGTCCTCGCTTACAGACAACCCCCCAACCTGAAGCAAATACTCACCAGCAACTACACACCACACCACAGAAACACCAACCCAGGAACCTATCCCTGTAGCAAACCTCGTTGCCTACTCTGTCCCCATATCTCCTCGGGCACCAGCATCAGAGGACCCAACCACATCAGCCACACCATCAGGGGCTCATTCACCTGCACATCCACTAATGTCATATATGCCATCATGTGCCAGCAATGCCCCTCTCCCATGTACATTGGCAAAACCAGACAGTCCCTCCGCAAATGAATAAATGGACACAAATCG